GTCTTAACTTTTATAAAGAATATCTCTTTGGGTTTGAGACTTTAGTCTTTGCAACTTTAGGGATCTTATCTGTTCACGAACAGCTTGTAACACTCCAAAGAGAAAAGAAAACTTGAAATTGCATCATATGACCCCTTTAACGTGGCTGGGCAAAGACGGTAATATGCTGATTGGCTTCATCACTCTGTCTCCTCTCCACCAGTAAGCTGGAGTGTGGTGGGCGTTCTGGCGCACTATGGCTGCCGTCACATCATCCAGGTGGATGCTGCACACTGGTGGTGGATGAGGAGATACCCCCTGACAATGTAAAGTGCTATAAAAGCGCTATATAAATGTAATGAATTAATTAATGAATAATATAAAAAGTCCAAATTTGGTATACAGTTTATTGAAAAAAAGTATATACTATGTACAGGCAAGCAGATGAACCCAGAATATGAACGCAGCATGCAGAACCGTTAAGCAGAATATGCTTGCGCATAACCATTTTCTTCCTCCCATCTATTTTTTTTTTCAGCACCATGTCACAATGCCTTTTTAACTTTTAATACATGTTCCTGGTTTAATTGTGTACAATTAGTCATTGCATGTTATTCCAAAGAAAAATTACTTTTCAACTGATTCCTATATGTAATTGAATACACCCACTTTTCACAATCCACCCATCTACAGATCTGATGCTGGAAATCTTGGAGATTTTTTAGTTTTAGCACGCAGTATATTTTCACTGACATTCATTCACTCAGCACATGTTCTATCTAAAGTAGCTTGCAACAACAACAAAAAAAACAATGCAAGCAGAATCTATTAATCTAAAATCTATTAATCTATGACATCTATTAATCTAATACAAGTGTTGCTACCATAACATTTCACTGAGTACTAGAATACTAATTTAATACAGGAAAATGCTTTGAATATGTATGCATGTTTATATGTTTGATTAAATAAAATGTAGAACACTTGAGCAGTAAGTGTATTATTAAATGGCAATCGTCAAAACAGCAACACCTCAGTTATTGTTACGCCATGTTTTTCATCTTATAATACCATTTCAGATTTTCTCTCCTAAAAACAGTGCTGGTAGAACATGAATGCATGAATTAGCCTTTTGCTTTATAAATTGAGAGCATATGCATAATGCTCATATGCACATAAAATGCAGCAGCTAGTTCTTACTAGAACCAAGAATTATGATCATATTCTCCACTTGTTGCTCACTTTCTATATTAATCAGAATACTGGGTAAACACCTTATACAGAATACTTCAGCTGAACAATCACATTTGCAACCTGGTTAATATAAGAGATACAGAAAGTCAAGCTACTGAAGAAATTCGAGTCACTCATCAGATGGAAACTCCTCAGAGTCACAAACACAAAAACAAGACTATGAAATACAATTATTTTTAACAGGACATTTATTTTGCAGATGAGATCCATTATTGGTTCTGACACTCCTTTACAGCAGTTTGATTCTGATTTTTACTTTATCTTTTGTTCTAGACGTTCTGTACGAAGGATATGAAGATGGTAGCAATAATGATAGTGATCAAATGATTGTTCTATTGACAAAATATCCAACATGTTCTTCACACAAAATAAAACCGATCTTCCATAGTATTCCATATGCACTTTACAAATATATATACGTAGATAAAATTTCTTCTTGGAAATAAATGCTGATTTATCTGTCAAAAACCGGGTGGAAATGGTGTGTAATAATGTCTGAGTTTGGGCAAAAGCCAACAACAGTGAGTCACGAGGAAGTTTTCATTCAGTCATTGGGTGAGATGAACTCTATTTTAAGCCCGGTGAAGTTATTGAAAACTGGTGAAAAGTGTTAGTGTTGAAGGTTTTAGTAATTTGTATGAAAAGTTCTGAACAGTGAATTCAACTAGATCTGTTGTAGGGTCGAGGTTGCTACAATTGACTGAAATCTGTGTGCATCTTTGTGCAGTTTTCCTGAAATGTGCAAAAAGATTTTGTTTTCTGGAATTTTTTTTCTGCCAATAAATGGACTGTGGTTCACATTTGAATCCAAGATTGGTTGCACCCAGAGTGTGAATCATTTTATAAAACTCATAGCTTCATCATTATATTAACCACATATAAACGTGACTGCTCTGTGTGGAATTAACTTCTAAGAAATGACTCGCGGTCCAGGTGGAAGCAATCTTGTTCACTAACTGGTGAACTTTGCGATAAAATCAGATCAGTAGATTTTCTAGAACCCTACCAGATGGATTTGCTAAATCATTATGTTTGTTTTTCCAATGAACAATTAATGCAAAGTTTCTAAATGCTCTAGTCAGCTTTTAAAAAATGGATTCTCATAATGTTTCTCTGCTTTTATTTATGTGTCGAACAATTGTCAGCACTTTACGTGAAGCCTGTATATATAAATATAATGCATTAGAAAAGTATTCTTAATGCATTGATTATGTCTTGTCATGCACTTTATAATGCATTACATGATTTTATTAATATTTGCAACCGGACTTAACATACTTCATTTTTACACCTTTAGAAATTATAATGCATTAAAGCATGATAAACCACCAATTTCATGTGTAACAAGGAACCTGCAAATATTAAGCATTTTTTGTGCAATATTTATGCAAATTACAATGCATTTGAACTTTGTTTACAATTATTTATGAAAAGATTAAATGCTATATAATGCATTATACATAAAGGCTTCAAGTAAAGTGTTAATTATCTTTAAAGCCCTTTGAGCAGCTTATTACCAGGATCTACGTCAACCCTAAAATATCAGAACAAACGATGGGACGGTGGGACTTTTAAAAGGTACTAATATGTGCTCTTAAGGTAATAATATGAACCTTTAAGGTACTATTATGCACCTTTTTAGGTAAATAAGGTACAAAACTCCAGTGAAAGCTTTTTTCGGAGAGTGTAACATTAAAGGGATAGTTCATCCAAAAAGGAAAATTTTGAAAATCACTTACCCTCAAGCTGTTCAATCCAAACCTGTATGAGTTTTTGAAGAATTGCTATTTTGAAGAATGTCGCAAGCCAAACAGTTGAAGGTAGCCACTGACTTCCATAGTCATTTCTGTAGTAATTATTTTCCATACTATGTAAGTCAATGGCTACTGTCAGCTGTTTGGTTTGTGTTCAACAGAAGAAAGAAACTCATGCAGGTTTGGAACAACTTAAGGGTGAGTAAATGATGACAGAATTGTCATTTTATGGTTAACTATCCCTGTAATGTTTGCCGTTGGCTGTGGGTTATCGCTTGCCTACTGTTGGGTAAAGCAGAACTCCACTGAATGAGGACAGGATTTCACTGGATGCTGAAATAGCCAGTTTCCCTGATGTGAGCACCAGTCCCGTCCTCTGGCCCCGCTTCAGATGAACAGCGAGACTTACAGAGACGCTCCCTCCACAGTCGCAGTCCTGAGTGTATCTGCCACCCATTCCAGCAGTGGAAAGCTTCTGGATGTTACGATTGGCTACTGAGAGAAAGGCCTCGACTCTTTCTCCTGCTTGAGCTGTTAATACAGCGCTCAGCAGGTACCGTCCGTCCATGGGCACAGTGAACACACCTAGAAAATAAAGATTCAGATTAATACAACAAAGGTAGAATGCTATTGCTATTGTGTGTGATTTTTTTTCTATAGAAAATTCACTGGCCAAAATGGAAAAGGTGTATGATATTCTGTTCTAAATGCTCGTTAAATGCAATTAAATTAAACAATTAAATTCATAGTTTAAATTTATATTAAATACAGTTAGCTGATTTTTTAGGAGACGCTTAAAGACTTAAGTACATCTTTAAATGTAATTTCAAAATTCTGATGTCTTTGAAATATGGTTAAAGTACTGCTGAATGTACTGGCAAGCATTTATGCTAAACTAAAATATACTTCAATGTCATTTCTATTGAAACTTGTTATGTCATGTACTTAAATATTTTTTGTAATTCCACATCTGTAATGATGAAGTTGCAATTTAGTACATTTAAAATATATTAGACTTAAATGTAAAACTGCACAATGTGCTTTTATATGTTTGTCAACAAATTAAAATGAATGTACTTCTTTAAAGTACAACAAATTATTAAAAGATAAGGATTTAAAATGTACTTTCAAGTAAAACTTTTAATTTGATATTATTACAAAGTGCACTTTTTAAAGGTGTGTTACGAAACATAGTCATAAGTGTCTCTTTAAGTACACTTAAGTGGCCTTTTATTTATTTAAAAGAAAACTTAAAAAAAAAAAAAAGTACAGTATTTTATATTCCATTAAGACTTGAATTTTTTTTTTTTTTTTTTTTTTTACAAGAGTAGCTTTTGCAAATACTATAGATAAATGATAATTTATGATTTTTCTTGTCATAAATGAATGTACCTGTTTGTGGGTCATAGTGTCTTCCATCATTTAACAGAACATTGTTGAATCGGATGACACCGATTTCTCCAGGGAATGGCACGAGTGTCAGACCAGCCGAAAATGACACATAGGTCATTACTCCTGCATAAATACAGACACACTCACTTTACTGTCACTCACTGACAACACAGCTCTGTAAAATGTACAGGAGGTTGTATTTAGTTGTACCTGTGGCCGTTTGAACTGTCTTCAGTGGAATCTGTGCTGTAGATATGGGAAAGAGACATATGTAAATATCTTGTATAAAATGGTAATTTTTAATACATATTTGTAATGTCCTGCCAGTGTTGGGGAAGCAGCTTCAAATGATGCATAGCTGGTAGTCTGGCAATCTACAGTTTTAAAATTTTACTTAAACTACAGCCAAGCTACTGAAATTCAAACTACTGAAAAGCTATTGAAAAGTAACTAGCTTCACTACTAGTGAGCTACACTGCAAGTTGTTAACAAAAAAGTAGCAAGAAAAAAAGCTTTCTTTTTGTTGATTTCTGAACACTACTGTTATCAGTACAACCCTGGGTAGCATCAGTATGTATATACCAACATAACTCAACACTTTTGAGTGATAAGAGGACTGTCACTTGTATCGTACTGCTGATACTGCAGTGACTTTCATGGAGCTCATATCATCCCTTCCTCCTCTTACATCTCCCTCCTTAGACACTCTGTTGGAGTCCATTAATCTCTCCTGTCCAGGGCTTTAAACTCTGTTGCCCCCCTAGGACCCATGGAGAAATAGTGTTGCCATTGTAAAATTAAAAAGAACCTGAGAGACATGTTTTTGAACTGGGTCGGTCTATCAGGCCCAGTCTTAGACTGATTTAGATCCTACTTAAGAAACAGGGAATACTATGTTGTTCAGGATTCTCATACGTTCTGAAGTCATGTGATATCTTGTGGTGTCCCTCAAGGCTCAATCCTGGGTCCTCTATTATTTAACTTATACATTCTTCCTTTATCATAATTCATCAATATAATATTTCATTTCATCAGTATGCATATTAAATGCATCTCTATATACATCAATCATCAATTTTGGCTCTGCATGAAGCATCCAATTCACCAAAATGCACCACAATGGAGGGCTGTCCCAATCTGAAGTTATTCCAGCCTTGAGCTCACAGCTGATTGGTCCAGTGAAGGCAGTGTGAAAATGCATGATGGCATGTAAGATTTAATAGTACAACATACTTTAAATATGTCATAGTTATATCATTATATAATTTCATTTCTATGACAGATTAATTATCTGGTGCAAAAGCAATAAGGATTATAAAAGGGAATGGGAACACATTTAAATAGCAAGAAAACACCATAACCAGTACATCTGTACAGTGAATGTGCGATTGTTATGTGTGTGTGTGTGTGAGTGTGTGTGTGTGTGTGTGTGTGTGTGTGTGTGTGTGAGAGAGAGAGGTAAAAGAAGTGAATGCATGAGTGTTATATGTGTATGTGAAATGTAAAAGCACATTTTTGTGTGAGCATTTTGTGTTTATGTGCAAGACTTTTGTGAGTATTTGCATGCATTTTGTTTGTATCTGCGAATGTTTCCTGTAGCTACTTGTGTTCTTCAGAATTGATGTCAAGATACATTAGTTTATAAATGTCTTCTAAATATACGTTTACTAAATTTATTCTAGCAAGATCAATTAGATCATCCAGCTTTTATTGCTGATTGCAGGCCATACCTAAAAATACAGAGAAAAGTGTTTTTTTACCCTGGTTAAATTGTGAATGGCTGATCGCTATGGAATTTGGCAAATAGTAACAGGGTGTCATCATTAGGCAGTGTACCAAATTATGTAAGAATCAGATACAAAATGGCATTATAATAAGCTAATTTAATTTCTGTATCAATTTCTGTAAGGAAATCTTTTTGCAATTGCTTTTAAAAAACTGTCTGATTTCCACCAAATTTAGTTTGCATCCTGTATCAGCTACATCAAAAAAAGCTTGAACCCTGATAATTGTGGCTATTTAGTTTATTTAGTAATTCCCCAACACTGTTCAGCAACAGTAAAGTGTTGAATACCAGAAACGGAATCTGGACTGAGAGCGGCAGCAGGAATTCCTGGGTAACCTGTCAAGAACAACACAACAAAATCTGTGAGGTAACCCTGATTTCCTGTGAAAACACCTGTTTTTATTAGAAAATGCACACACGTGTATCTGAATACACTTACCTGGAGCTCCTGCATAGCCTGTAATGGACGGCATGCTCCCATTGATCCCCTGAGGGGTGTGAGACGAGACTTTGGTTACTCGAGTTGCTGCTTCCCCAGACGCCAGCGATGGGAGTGGTTGACCTACCTCCGTGGAAACTTTTACAGCCGCTGTACCGTCAGGAACACCTGGAGAGAAGCAGAAGAGTGATGGCTGACACTGAGAGAAGACTGCCTGACAGTTAACAGGTGTGACTTTGCTATATACAAAAGGTTCAATCCATCTGGTTCCAAAGAAATCTTAGCATTATGTAGAGCTGGAAAATCTTTAGAATTCTCATTCAATTCCATTTTAATTCAGAGAGTCATGATCCAATTCCAAAAAAATTCTTGATGCATCTCAATTTGTAGCAACACTGTGCTACAAAAGCTTTCACTGTGTAAAAAAAAATATCTGTGTAAAGATTTTGCATAAAAGTCACACTTAAATATGTCTATCTGTGGCTCTGTGGATTTTGTTCTGTGCAAATGAAATGCTGCATCAGAGTAACTATGCAGTCATCTTGTTTTCTCTGGCTGTGCATGAAAATTATTTAAAGTGAGATACACTGTTTTCAACAATTGTGCAAAAGCATTTACAGTAAGCTGCACTAAAAACAATGATTAACTTGAAATTTAAATAGCCTTTTTGTAGATGTATTAAGTATACAGAATTGTTTGACAAATTATGATTAAACAAGTTACAAAACTTGAAACTTGAAGATGCACACCAAATTTGGTCAAATTCTGGACTTTGGGGGTTTGGAAAAAACCTTCTTATGAACACCTGGAGAAAGGTAGAAGAATGCTGATGGGAGGACAGGATAACAATTACCAGACGTGGCACTGCCACATACAACAGACCGTCATTTGGTTCATTTGGCACAAAATCTCAAAAAAGCCACAAAAGCAAATCAGAAAATGCTTCTACTCATATAAAAAAGCTTTACGTCTTCATAAACGTAAAAAGTTCTATGTAATCTTAATAATGAGAGTGTTTATGGTTTGTATGGTGGTGTGGACAAAGAGCGGTCATTTTCCAAATCTGAATATTACCAGAGACAGACAGGCAGACCTCTGATGTTGTCAGATTTAATAGGTGTTTCAAAATACTGTATGCAATTAAAATGTAATCTTGACAAACAGTTTTGGAGATTTATCTCTTTCCCCATTCAAGTATATAGGAGCTGTATGCCTTATATGTCTGTTACTTACACTGAAAACAGCTGCTCAGAAGTAATTACTAAGTATTTAAGATGCCTGCCAAGTAAACTTATCTGCCCTAAAGGTACTTTGGTTTAACTGCCCCTGAGCCCAGGTGCTTGTAGGAATACTTGTACATTTCTCACGAAATGCTTTATGCTCAATGAACAGTGATTAGTACACATGCTCTTCAGCTACTGCTTGTGTGCATTATGTATACAGATGTTCAACATAGAAAAGCCCTAAAGGGCACAATGGAAAGGGGTTTTATATTTTTCTGCTGTAAAACTTTTCTTATTTTTTCAGGATAATTTTCCATTGTTCATAGTCAATGCGCTGGGAAATGGCAATAAATGAAAAAAAAGTATCAACTAATAGTGTCAACTTTTGACCACTAGGTCATGAGAAGCCCTGAGCTAAATCAGCCGAGAGCTAACAGTGTACAAGAATTAATATTATAATCACAATACATGTATGGAATTGCTGCACTGATATTCTGAATTACTATGAATTAAATTGTCATGGTACACTGCAACTGAAATGGTATTTCTGCTGTCATTTTATGATATTTTACAGCTGATGTACATTATTTCAGTTTTTAAAAAATGTTTGTTTTACCATAAATTTAAGTATAATCTGTAAAACTTAAAATGTTGCTATAATATTTTTTTATGGTAGAGTTATGGCAACCACAGCTTCCATTTTTTACTGTAAATTTTACAGTTTTTTTTACTGTAAATTTCACAGTTTTTTCTTTTTTTTTTTTTTACAGTGTTCTCATGCTACTGAGTAAAAAATGTAGTTGCTTCCCATCAATGAGAGAAAGAGAGATGGAGCAGCTTCACATGTCACACCCGCTGCTCACATGATCTCATCTACTAAAACACACACATATGTTGGCAATCCTATTATTATGAGAACTTTCCATAAGCGTGATGGTTTTTAAGCTGAGCTAAGGATAATTTCTGTTCCCTAAACCGCCCCTTAAACATAACCTTCACAGAAAATTGTTTGCATTTTTAATAAAACATTGTTTAGTATGTTTATGAAACCATTTAAATTACAGGGACAAGTGTGCACATACAATTAATACAATGATGCACTTAGGTCTTATTCATAGTGTGATGTGAATGTGAGGGTGTAACTGTGAAACACAGGCGGTGCCTCTACATCACTATTTTAGGCCGATTATGCGATAATGTCTGCTTGTCATGCTCACAAGTCACCCTGAATGGGCCAAACTAGTGGACCACGTAATTATATATATATATATATAAAGTTTCATGATTTCAATTAATTAGACATGCTTTTTGATTACTACAATTTAATTTAACCATAAAAACATTGTCTAGAAATAATAAAGTTATGCAGTGGTGATATCAATGTCTTTCTGATAAACTAATGGCCACTCTCCCAGAATGGAGTCCCACAATTAGACCTCCAGATAAAATATATTAAAATACACATGCGAGCAGTGAGACACGCTTGAAAGAAAAGATCATCTCACGGGACAAATGTCAAATGTGACTGAAAAGAATGAGTGCATTACTATCACAGAGCACAATACACAGTAGTATTCACGAGAAGTTGAGGTCCAGGGAATAAATGCATTTCCTGGAAAATCTACACTACACTGTAAAAAAAGAAATCCGTGAAATTTACGGTAAAAAACGGCAGCTGTGGTTGCCGGAATTTTACTGTAAAAAATACGGCAGCAACATTTTTTAAGAAGAAACACAGTTATTTCAATAAAAAAAAAACATCAAATTTAAAATGTATCACAGGGAATTCTGGGAATGTCAATTTACGGTTATTCACTGTAAATTATACAGTCTTTTTTCACTTCCAAAAATGGTATAATACATATAATGTCCAATACAGTTTTTCACCGTATATAGTAGGGGAATTTACCGTTAACCATTTAACAGGTTTTTACTGTAGCATGTTTACAGTCTTTTACCGTTAAATTCACAGTCACTTTTTACAGTGTACCGGATGATTAGACTACGTGTTCGCTTTCCAAGAAGGAGAAAATGATGACCTGGGTGGTTTCAACATACCGTAACCGTTTTCTTATATTCATGCTCATGATGCACTGGCTTTCTTGGTAGCACTTTATTTTAACAGTCCTGTTCTGCATGTACATTCTACTGTATATACTTATTAACGTAAGTACAATAACTAGGTAATTACTGGGTACTAATCCTGAACCTACCCCTAAAACCATCTCAACCAAGTAGTTGCCTTATATTACCCAGTACTTACACTGTAATTACAAGTAAGTGCACTTACTGTAAAATAATTGCAACCACATGCACACAAAATTCAATAGTCCTTGAGTATATCCTTTGGACTTACTGCAAACAAAGCTGTGATTACAAATCACTTTGTGGCTATATCCTTACGCCATTTTTACTTACATCTTGTTCCTGAGTGTGTTGCAACAGTATCAACTGCATTATTCTGAATGCTGCTAGGTGAAATGCCAAGCTGACTAGTGTGTCCAGAACATCTTGTAAATTACAAACACAAAATCACCAAATGAGAAGCAGATGCCCACGCGCACACACGCGCACACGCG